GCGTGCTGAAGCTTCCCCAAATGGAGGATTAGTCACAGATCCTGGGCTCTAAGGCCTGGAACCCCAGGCTGCACTTGAACTATGAGATCAGTGGCAGGAATTACTATTCTCCTAACTTTGGGTAAGTGATCTGGGTCTAAAACAAAGGGCAGGTATCTGCTACTTCTACTTCTTCCACTGCACTTTACCAAACACTGGGGGGAAATAACATTATGTGTTTCTGTGTGTCTATGTGACTGTGTGCTTCTCTAGAGTATCTGAGCATCATGGGAGCTCATCATATCCACTCATCACAGAAGATCCCCTGAAACTCACAGCTCTCAGTTTGCAAGGATTTGCAGATTCATTGACCCCAAGTGTCCTAGAATTACAGCAATTTACCTTTGGCACTGTATCTCTGGAATATTTAGGAATAAAAAGCAGTAATGGTTCTGTTGTCCTGTGAAACACACCTGAAAATGCTTAAGGACAGATACAGCCAGAGAGGAGAGTTTCAGGATTATTTGTGAACCTGACCTTAGATGCACTAAGATTTGACATTCCAGAGTTAATCTACTGTTTTTCAACCCCTCAGGTATCATGGGTGATGCTAAGTCCACACAGCCAGAAGCAGTGGAGAGTACTGAAGAAAAACCTGTGAACCTGCCCTGTAACCACCCCACAATCAGTGGAGCTGAGTACGTACACTGGTATCGACAGATTCCCGGCCAGGGTCCAGAGTATGTGATTCACAGTCTGAAAGGCAATGTGAGCCATGGAATGATGTCTCTGATCATTACCACAGACAGGAAGTCCAGTACCTTGATCCTGGCCCAGGTCACCCTGAGAGACTCTGCTATCTACTACTGCATCTTGAGAGACACACAGTGGGATGGAGGGGGCTGCACCTGTACAATATCTCCTTGAAAGTGAGGGGAGCAGCAGCAGCATCTAGAGTGGCCACTGCACGAGGATGAGCAGAAGCCCGACAGAAAAATAGAAAAGTAAAGGAGAAAAGCAAAAGTCGTAAAGAGAAGATGTTGAGGATAACAAGGAGGAAAGAA